GGAGTTCAAGGGGCGGGGGGCGGGGAGCCGGCCAATGGGATTTGGGGTGGGGGGCTGGCTGGGGGTTTTAGGGGCTGGCCAGGAAGCTCAGGGACGGGGTTGGTGGACTGGACGGCGGGGGTTCCATGTTTAGGGGGTTCAAGTGGCCAGCCAGGGGGTTTCAGTGTTCAGAGGAGTTCGAGGGGCCAGCCGGGGAGTTTTGGTGTTTGAGGATTTGAGGCGGCGGCCAGAGGTTAGAGGGGCTAGGAGTCCAGCAGGGGGAGTTTGGGGGCAGAGGGCTGGCTGGCAGGGTTTGGGATTTGAGTCTGGCTGAGGGTTTTAGGGGCCAGCCAGGGCACTTGGGAGGGTTGGGGGCCTGGCCAGGGAAGTTCAGAGGTGGAGGGTTGGCTTGGGCGGGTTAGGAGCCAGCCGGGAGCTCGGGTGGTTGGCGGGCCAGCCGGGCTGGGGGCTGGGCTTGGGGTCTGGCCGGGAGATAGGGGGTCAGCTGGAGGAATTCAGGGGGATTGAGGGGCCAGCCGGGGGGTTGGGGTTCAGGGGTTTGTGGGACTGGCTGGCAGGATTTGGGGGTGGGGACTGGCTGGCAGTTTAGGGGTCAGTCAGGGGGCTTGGAGTGTTGGGGGTCTGTTGGGAGGTTTGGGGTCAGCCAGGGGAGTTTGGGGGTTATGGGGATGGCTGGGGGAGTTTGGGGGATTGGGGGCCTGCTGGTGGGTTCGGGGGCCAGCTGTGGGAGTTTGGGGGGGTTATGGGGGCGGCTGGGGGGGTTGGTGACCCTGCTGGGAGGTTTTGGGGGGTTGGAGGCCTGCTGTGGGGCTCGGGGGGTTCAGGGGCCAGCCGGGGGGAGTTTGGGGGCCTTCTGGGCGGTTTGGGGGGATATGGGGCCAGCTGGGGAAGTTTGGGGGGTTGAGGGGCCAGCTGGGGGGTTCAGGAGGGTTCTGGGGCCTGCTGAGGGGTTTAGGGGGGTTATGGAGCCATCCGGGGGAGCTTGGGAGGATTGAGGGGCCCGCCGGAAGGTCACTCACTCAGCGCTGTCAGGATGCCCAGCACGAACATGACAATGGCCAGGACGAGGCCGACCATGCGCAGGGTGTCATAGTCTGGGAGGAGAGGGGGGGTCAGAGACAGACAGCCCCACAGCCCCCCCCCCCCCACCACGCCCGCTACCCCCTGCCCCCCAGCTCCCTCCAGCTCTAGTGAGGCCCCGCTTTCCAGCAAACACCCCAGCTGGGAGCAGGGCCAGGGGGCGCCAGGGGGATCCCTGCTAGGCAATGCCCCCTCCCCAACACGGGATGTCCAACCGTGGAGCCACAAACGGGGACAACTCCGGCCCCCTCCGAGCAGCGCAGAGACAGCCCACGGGGCAGCCACACGAGTGGCCTCACTCACCATAGGAGAAGGGATCCTGGTGTCCACGGCCATCTGGAGAGAGGAGAGAGAGACGAACCCCTGAACTACCCCAGCCCCAGAGAGGGCTCACCCGGCCCTGAGATGCAGCCACATCTGGGGTGGGGCAGCTTGGGAACAGCCGCACATAACACCATGCAGGAGTTTGGGATAGGGAAGGACAGAGACTCCCATGTCATTCACAGCAGCAGGATCATTGCTGCCGGGGAGAGGGAAGCCCCTGGTGAAGCCATTAACCTGGGACAGGGTTCACACCCTGGTTTGCACCCGCCTCCCCCAGCCTTGGTGAGAATGTCCTGCACTGAGTGAAGTCATCAAGAATCCAGGACAGGTCAGCAACCCAGCGCCCCCCGTGAGCTCCCTGCCCTGCTCCCCACAGCACAGCACCCTCTGCTGAGCCCCCCTGCTCCCTGTGCCCCACAGCACAATGACCCCCATGAGCCCCCTGCCCTGCTCCCCACAGCACAGCACCCCCCATGAGCCCCCTGCCCTGCGCCCCACAGCACAGCGCCTCCCATGAGCCCCCTGCCCCACTCCCCACGTCCCAGCGCCGTGAGCTCCCTGCCCTGCGCCCCACAGCACAGCGCCCCCTGCTGAGCCCCCCTGCTCCCCACAGCACAATGACCCCCATGAGCCCCCTGCCCTGCTCCCCACAGCACAGCGCCCCCTGCTGAGCCGCCCTTCTCCCTGTGCCCCACATCCCAGCGCCTCCCGTGAGCTCCCTGCCCTGCGCCCCACAGCACAGCACCGACTGCTGAGCCCCCCTGCCCCGCTCCCCACAGCACAGCGCCCCCTGTGAGCCTCCTGCCCCGCTCCCCACAGCACAGCGCCCCCTGCTGAGACCCCCACCACCCGGGTCCCCTCAGCACAGCGCCCCCCGCTCAGCCCCCACCCTGCTTCCTGCAACACAGCGCTCCCAGAGATCCCCTCACCCCACTACCTGCAGGGCTGTCTGATGGGGTGGCCCTGCAGGGATGAATAATGCAAACCCCCATGCCCCGCATGGGGGTTTGC